CCCTCTGGTATCCTTCGACAACGGTCGCGAGAACCGGGAGGCGATGGCGCGTTGTGGCAGGGGAACGCCTCAGTGTCTCAGAGTGCAAGCCCCCGCGATTGAGAATTCTGTAATTGGCCCGGGGCCCCCACGAATCTTCTGGATCTCAGACCCCCTGGGCAGAAATCCGCTGCCGCGCCTGGCGGCAGTGGCGTGTTAGGGAATTTTTGTATGCTGTCTGGTAGTGTTTGTTATGTTGGCAGGATGTTGTTATCGAAAGTTGTTGATGTTGACGCCGATGATGGTGTGGTATCTTCGTCTTCCGTACAGTGTAAGCCGAAACCGTGGATTTCGGTGTCGGGGCGAATGCGAATGATAGTGATGGTGGCGATGGCGGAGGTGATGATGACGATGATGATGATGATACAGTGTTGATGGTTATGATCATTTGATGATGGCGTTATTAACATCGATGGCGTCGATTATGTAAGCGATGACGATGGTCATGACGGAAATGAAAATGACGATGTTATGTTTGGCCCCCAGCACCCCCCTGCACGGCACGTATTCCGAGGCTTTACGCCGTTCCGTTGTTTTTTTCTTGCGGCCGCGCGCGCGCCCACCCAGATCGGCGGGCGCGCGCGCGGCCCGCGAACGGCACGGCCGTCCAGCGGAGTCGCCTAGCCCTCCCCCTTTTCCCTCGTTGCCACTAGGGCGGCCCCCTGCTGGCGAGCATATACGCGTGCACGAACCCACGCGCCCTCTCCTTCCCGCCCCACACGCACGCGGTCGCGCCTCCTTCCCCCTCCCTACCTTCCCCCCTCCCTCCCTCCCGTCCTCGTCGTCGTGGTCGTCGTCGCCCTCGTGTCGTCGTCTTGGTCGTCGTCGTCGCCGCTTGCGCCGCCGCCAGGTCGGTTTGTGTGTTCGTGGTTGTCCTGGTTGGGCTCTCGCTGCGCGCCGCGCACATTCGTTTGGCTGGGCCTGCCTGCCTGCCTGCGGCACAAGGACTTCGCTGCGCGCGCTATGCCATGCTATGATATGCTATGATATGCAATGCTATGTTACGACACGTTATGACATGTTTTGTTATGGTTATGACATGATACGTTGTGTCATACGATGGTATGTTATGATATGTTATGATACGCGGTGTTGTGATCTGCTAAGTTGTGGTATGCTCCGCCATGCTATGTTATGTTGCGCGACGCTGTGATATGTTGTGCTGTGCTATGTTGTTTTATGACGATGTTTGTGTTTGCATTGCATGCTACGATCTGCCATGATATATTATGGTATGCGTTGTTCTTTTATGGTGTATTGGGTTAAGTGATGATGATGATGATGATGATGAGGATGATGATGATGATGATGATGATGATGATGATCACTGGCGACGTTGGCGGCCGCCAGCTGGAGAGGAGGCGCGGGCCCAGCGAAATTATTCAATTGCGCTTGAGGCCGCCCCAGTCTTCCCCTGGTCCCGGCCCCGGTCCCGGTGTCGGTCCTGGTCCCAGGGCCCCTCCCCCTCCTCCTCCTCTTGCTCGCCCTCCTTTTCCCCCCAGCAAAAAGCAAACGACGACGACGACCACGACGACAACGACGACGATTTCCTCAGCCGCTCAATGCGAGCGCCTGGCTCCTCGCGCGCGCGCGCCGAGCCCGCGCCTCAGATCTCTCATGATAACCCCCGCTGCTGCGGAGACACCCCCCGCTGCTGCGGAGGTCTCCGCAGCCGCGCGCCGTCAGCTGGAGTCGCTTGAAAGGCTGCGGCGCCGCGACTGCAATGCCTCGAACGCGGAACTGAACGCAGACGGGTCCGCAGGAGGCGGCGACTCCCTGGGGAGGAGCTGCGGCGGCGGAGGCTGCGGCGGCGGCCTCGGGACGAGCGGCGCTGCCAGAGGGGAGGGCGTCTGCGACTGTCTGGGCAGGGGCCGCTTCGGCGGAGCGTGCGGCGGCTGGCTCGGGACGAGCCGCGCTGCCGTAGGATGCGGTGTCTCCTCCAGCGGGGGGGCCCCGCGGCGTCCTCCTCCACGCGGGGGAGGTGGCCGTGGTGGTGGCATCATTGGCGGCATGCCTGGCGGACGGCAAATCTGGCCTGGGAAGAGCGGCCGCCATCCTCTCGGCATCAGCACCACCTGACCTGTGTGGGGTGGGTGCACGGGCGGCGTGGGCAGGAGCCACCCTGCCCACGCCGCCCTGCGGTCGCCGCCCTCCACCTGCCCACTGCGTCTGGAGCGGCTGCGCCCCCTCTGCTCCTGCCCTCTGCGTCTGGAGCGGCTGCGCCCCCGCTGCTGCGAGGGCACTCTCCTCATTCGGTCTCTGCTCCTCTGCTCCCGCTCTCTGCGTGTGGAACGGCTGCCCCCCCGCTGCTGCGAGGGCTTCGTCCTCTTTGGGGTTCTGCTCCTGATATCGTTCTTTTCTTCTTCTTCTTGTTCTTCTTCTTCTCCTTCTCCTTCTTCTCCTCCCTCTCACCTCTGTCAGGGTTCCTCTTTTCGTCCTGGGGCGGCGTGGGGCTGCAGGA